AATTTGACTTGGTTTGGTTTCAGGGTGGTTGGACAGGAAAAAAAAAGGCATAAATCCATCACCAGTAAAACGGGAATGCCACTGAAAGAGTGAGATAAGGAGAATGTGCGTGGGCCATGGCTGGTGATGGCCGCGGGAGAGGCAGATGTGCAGGCTCGTCGCGTCCCCGCTTCTGGGGCCGTACCAGCGGTGGGTCAGTCCTCGGAGGACATTAGCTCTAGGGCAGCTCCCCCAGAATAAGCCGTGCCCTCTCCACAGAAGTGGCAGGAACACGAGCCCAGTGGCCCTCTGAGGTTGGCCATCGCAGGTCGCATGTGGTGGCCTCGCTGGACCAGGCTCATGATCGGAAAGGAAGGCGTCTGTGGTGTGCCAGGCCTCTGATTGGCTGGGAAGCCACCTCAGCATGTGCCAGGCTCAGAGGACACCAGCCGGCGCTGCCCCTGTGCTGGCATTGAGGGTTCCGTGAATGGCTGTGCCTGGACCTGCTCCACACACAGCAAGGACAGGACTGAGGGAGCCAGAGGTGGGACTGGGTCTTCATCCTGGCCCCGCCGACTGTGGCCCTGTGTGTCTGCGTGCAATAGCCTCTCAGCGCTGTGATGCTGTCCTCCAGCACCGTGATAGACGAGCGGATGGTGGGCCTGCCCCCACCCGGGTGCAACCAGCATTTGCATCTGCCCGGGCTGGATTCGAACTGAGGAGCCCACAGCCCAGGGCAGCTACCCAGTGCTTCTGCTACCTGAACCTCGGAAATGGGTTTGCATTGGTGAAATTGGCACATTACCAACGAGCAGAACATGATCCACTGATCCTCTTAATGGTTGTTAGAAATAGCTCTCGCTGGAGAAAGCAAAAGGTATTCGAGGTGTACCAACTGGCTTAAATCAAGAGTCACCCCCTTTGCATGAGCAGAGTTTAAGGATCTAGTGAGGGTGGGATCTACACTGAAGCTTGGTCCCTAAACAGATCACGGGGGACTCTGGCTGCCCGATGCCAGCTGAAGGGCAGGGATATCTGCCTCTGAAATACCGTCAGGTCAGCCTGAGGCCAAGCCCGCACTCAGAGCTGCTGGAGCATCTGTGAGACAAAAGGCTGGGTCTTCCCGAGTGTGAGGAAATGGGGGCGAACTGCTGTGTCTTGGGCCTGCTGCCCCTGGCTGATGAATTCCCAAGTGTCCGCCCGCGGGCAGAGTTGGCTGCAGCTTGCTCTCCTTTCAATCAGGTAGTGCAGTCCTGGGGGACCTCTCGTCCCTGCCCATGTCCACCCTGCGGAGGCTCCCGTGGAGGACCTGAGAGGTGTGCGGGACAAAACTGGCTCTCATTACTTCTCAGCGAGCACGAGCACTGAAGGCCCCTGCACGAGCAAGAGCACTGTTATCGCAGCGAGATGCAGCCTGCAGCGCCCGGCAGAGGGTGAGGATGCGGGAGAGCAGGGTGCTGGACACGTCCCCTCTCGCTCTCGGGGGCGGGGACTGGGGCTCTGGACACGTCCCCTCTTGCTTTCGGGGGCGGGGACTGGGGCTCTGGACATGTCCTCTCACTCTCGCTGGCGGGGACTGGGGCTCTGGACGCGTCCCCTCTCACTCTCGGGGGCGGGGACTGGGGCTCTGGACTCGTCCCCTCTCACTCTCGCTGGCGGGAGACTGGGGCTCTGGACACGTCCCCTCTCACTCTCGGGGGTGGGGACTGGGGCTCTGGACACGTCCCCTCTCACTCTCGCTGGCGGGAGACTGGGGCTCTGGACACGTCCCCTCTCACTCTCGCTGGCGGGGACTGGGGCTCTGGACACGTCCCCTCTCACTCTCGGGGGTGGGGACTGGGGCTCTGGACACATCCCCTCTCACTCTCGCTGGCGGGGACTGGGGCTCTGGACACGTCCCCTCTCACTCTCGCTGGCGGGAGACTGGGGCTCTGGACACGTCCCCTCTCACTCTCGCTGGCGGGGACTGGGGCTCTGGACACGTCCCCTCTCACTCTCGCTGGTGGGATGTCCCCTGGAAAGACACACTCATGGCCAAACCCCTGCACCTGTGAACAGGACCTTATCTGGACACAGTCTTTGGGAATGTGATGGACTCGGGTCATACCACAGTGGGGCAGACTCCAATCCAGGGACGGGCATCCTTAAAGGAAGTGGGGAGAACACACAGAAACAGGCACAGGGAGGCGGCCGGGCTGGATGGAGGCAGAGACTGGAGCCACGCAGCTCCAAGCCAGGGCCACTGGGACTCCCGGCAGCCAGAAGAGGCAAGAAAGACCCCTCCTTGGAGCCCTCGGAGGGTGAGAGCCCCCCGATACCCCCATCTCAGACTTCTGCCTCCAGAGTTGGGAGAGGAGAAACCTGTGGTTTCAGGCCACCAGGTTTGTGACCTGCTGTCATGGCAGCCCCGGGAGACTCGCGTGCCACCCAAACTCTCTCCACCGAACTCTGCTCAGCCTCCAGACCAGGCTGAAATCCCACCTTCTTCTCGTGCCCTGGGAGAAGGGAACCTCTCAGCCCCCCGAGTGTTCCCAGACCCAATATCTCATCTGCCCCACTCACAGGGGCTTGGTGGACGCAGAGAGGCCGCACTTACCTATAGCGGGCAACACAGAGGTGGACCTTCCCCGAGTATCTCTGCTTTGAGGTATTGGAATTCCGTTCATTCTCCATCTATGAAAAAGGCAATGGGTGTGCGGGTTATGGAAGCTGGAGGTGTCCCACTCCCTTCCCGCGGCAACGGGAAAGCCCCTCACAGCTTCCTGGGCCCCAGGAGAGACGGCCTGAGACTGTGGCACTCCCAGGAGGCACTGCCACCCGCACCCCCACATGCAAGTCCGGAAAGGAAGGCGGTCCCTCCGTGTGTACCCCTTATCACACAGACCCCTTCTGTGTTTGTGGAGAACCCAGTCCCCAAACAGCAAGGCTCGAAGGCAGGGCCTTCCCCCAGCAGAATTCAGGGCGTGAGACACTCGGGGCGCCAGGCCCTGTGGGGTCCGTGGAAGACACAGCTGCATGCTGTTTTGGGCACTTGGCCCTCCAGGGGCTCAGTCTACGGAAGAGGCCCCCCAGCACCCCACATGCCCAGTGCCTCAGGAGGACGCCATGGGGAGGTGGCGGGAGCTGTCAGGTCCCCCCAGCCCCCACTCTCTCTTCCTGTCTCGGGGTTTGTGGAGTGTGGGGGCTCTACCCAGTGTCTCCTACAGCAATCCTGGGAGTCAGTGGGCGTGGCCTTTTCTCATAGGGGTGGGGGTGAAATTGAGCATGTGTGCGACCCCAGTTATTCCACTGTCACTCTCCCCAGCCAGCGCATTCCCCACACAAGCTGGAACAGTCTTCAAGCAGGAATTAGACCACATCACCCTCTGCCTTAACAGCTTTCAGTGGCTTCACCTCGGACTCAGACAAAAAGCCAAGCGCTGTCCTCTGCCCCGGCCTCAGCTCGTCCCTGCCCCGGCCCCCCTCCAGTCACACCAGCCCCTTCCCATCAATGCGACAGGACAGGACTCGCAGGGCCCGTCCCCGACCTCCACAGGCCCCTCCCGGCCAGCTTGGCATCAACGGCCTCGCTGTGTCATCCTCGCACCCTTCGACGGGATTTGCTTTTCTAAACGCTGCCTCGCCAGTGTTCTCTCTGCTCCCCCTTAGAACAGGGACCTCACCTGTGTTCACAGCGGGGCCCCTACATCCCAGCACATAGTCGGGCCAGGGAATTAACAGGGGCAAAGGGAAGAACCAACCAGAAGGAAGAGAGGGAGGAGGATGGGGAAGGAAACACGGGACAGACTGGCCAACATCCACACCAGACACACATGGCACAGGCAGGCCCGGCGGCCCCTGTGGGACGGGACTCACGTCTGACTCAGATCTGCATCTTGGGCTACCGGATCCCGACAGAAAGGTGGGCTTGGCGGGCAGAGGCTCCGGACTGTCACCAGGCTGTGGAAGGGGCCGGATATATTCACCGATCGCAGAGCCGCCTCCAATAGCGCTCTCCTGACCTGGCCACGAACATTAAAACAAGTTGAAACAAATATACAAATAACATCGTAAAAGTGCATTGGTCACGTGCCTACCCGGGGTACCTTTCCCCTCTTTGACAACAGTCACTGCGTTTCATTTTGGGGTCCACCCGTCTCCCGCTCACCATCTACGTAGGCTGGTGTGACCCCACCCTCAGCTCTGGGCCCGTCCAGCTGGCAGGTTCACCCTGGTGGTAATGCTTCTTTGGGAGCACAGGACGAGGACCGGCCCAGGCAGAGGGAACTAAAGGAGAGTTGATGGCAAAGAGGCTGCTCCTTTCCATGGCTTAAAATTGAGCGGCTGTGAAGCTCTGGGAAGCCGCAAACCTCCTGCACCTGCAAGAGGAGCATTCCGTGAGGACGGCACCTGCTCACAGCGAGAACGAGGGAAAGTGGATCCTGGCGATGGGCTTGGAGCCCCTGGTTCAAGATGTGCCTGAAGCCGCGTCCTGGCTCTTCACCTGCTCCAGGTGACCGACACACTCCTTTTCGCTCACACCAGCGTAGGCTGGCTTTGCTGTCGCTTGTGAACCACTGAGTCCTAACTGGCCAGAGAGGTGGGTTTGTGGCTAAAATATACTCTTGATGAGAGATTTGCAAGGACTGAAATAGTTCTCATTCCATCCTATCCTCCTGGGGTCTCAGGGGCTGCTGAGCCCTGTCCTGGTGGCCTGGAAAGGAGCATTGAGCACCGTGACGAACGCTGCCCTTTAACCAGGATCCAGGTGTGAAACACGATGCGGCTGCTTCCTTCCCAAGCTCTCCGCTACTAGGAATGATGACACCTCCTCCCTGGGGTCCCTGGTCCCTCTGTCGCTGTCTCATCGTAACAGTCACCTCACTGATGAATATGAATTGCTGAGTCCAAATCGGGAAGTATAAAATGATTTAAAAAGCCATCAGGAATGTTCCACTAACGGCTGCCCTAGGAGCCGCCCCTGGTAGGCCCCACAGCTCCAGGCTGCAGTGAGCAGCAGGACAGCACCACCACGGCAGGGAATTGGAACTGGGGCAGCCCTGCCCCGCGGTCCCCTGTGAGAACATCCGATCCTGGAGGGCAGGACCTCGTTTTATTCACTGTAACATGGCTCGGCGTGCAGCAGGTGCGAAGTGAACACTGAACGAGTCAGCTCCCAGAAGCCTCAGAAACCCAGCCGAGAGCAGGGCCTGCTGCCGCTTCTCCAGTTCCAGCTGGCATTGCTGCTTCTCTGCTCCCAGCCACGAGAGTCACCTGGACCAGTGAAACTCGACGGGTGTGGCAGGCTCCACTTGTGGGCAAAAGCCACTTTTCCTCCCCACACAGTGGCCAGGGAACTTTCCGGAGAGGAAACGCTGTCCTCCAGCGTTCCGAGACTGGGGGGGTTTGTGACTGCAGCAGAACGTAGCCTTCCTGCCTGACACCGCAGCCACGGTGAACGGCAGGGGACACCGCAGCCACGGTGAACGGCAGGGGACGGCACAGCCACGGTGAACGGCAGGGGACGGCACAGC